GATGATAGAGAGGAAGCAAAATAAAAATGTTCAACAAGTATATGACGATTTATACAAGTTTATCGATCCTGAAGATGTGCAAGCTAATACATACATTTTTCTAATAATTAAATCCGTTTTTATGGCTAAAAAAGAATGTATGCAATTAAATGGAATTTGGGTTCAGTCAGTTCTCGAGGTAATTTTTGACTAAAAACATCTTTTGGCAAAATTGACTCTGATATAGTAGAAAATTAGACCGAAGTGATTACTGACACTAAAATGGTAAGTATACGGATTAAATTTATAGTATTTAAACTTAATTACTAATATTAAAATACTTTTTATTAGGACTCAGATGTATTAATATGTCATCAGTGGATGACTAAATATGTATTTATTATTTGTAGAATATTTAGATTTCACAGTTTTTTTTCTTTTTAATTCTTTTATATTTTTATTTTGATTATTTCGATTGATGTATCAATTTATTCATTAATATTATAAATTTGGTTTGTACCACTTCGGTTATGGTTAAATAACAAAAAAAATTTTTAATATAATCCCAGAGTTCATAATATTTGGTATGTTGGTTCTTTTCACAATGGAACAATATTCACACGCTATCGAATTTAAATAAAACTCTAAAACTCAGCCCTACATTTCAACCCCTTAAAAAATAGTTGGTTACTGCGGCGGATCGATTAAGATACTTGGCGTTGAACCTAACTACCGAAAAATATTGTTCTTTTTTAATTTTGGAACCGAATCACTGGTTAAAATATCTATATAAAAAATTATTTGCATTGTCATAAAACCTGTTGCATAAATGGTTAAATTTGAGAGTGAGTTTGGATGATTTTCTTACATTAAAAAATGGATTTCCAAATGAACAAATATGGAAATTTTACGGTGCACGTATCATCGAATTGTCGCTTTATATGAATATTTCATCGTCCAATCACATACATTCTATTTCTATTAACTAAAATGATCGATAAATATATATATTAAAAAAATGGTACACGGTGTATTGTACACGGTCACGGCCGGCATTTACTAATATGAAGAAATTAAGAAATTACCTGTATGACGCCAATGTGACGGTTAATTAGTGATGAATAAGAATTTTTCACCGAAAAAATTCTCTGTCCCTAGAATAAATAGTAAAAACTAAAGGCGGAGGAGGGGCGTGTCACCGGTGACAAATATGTACATACACCCCCGTGTAAACTTAGAAATTTTCTAAAAAAATTTACCTGTAGAAATGACATTGAAGACTTAAGGAATTACAAGTCACAAATGTCTAAAATATGAATACTTGAAACTGATTGTTGATAAAGGCTATACAAAAGTACCTCAGGTCATAAAGAAAGTTGTTGTTGGTTGACTCACGTAAATGGCTTGCACTTGACACTTGCATTAGTGACGGAATTAGAATAATATGACTTTTGTATTAGAATGAAGCAAAAAGTCGTTTTCACTTATTATAATCCAACTATCTCGATTGCATGGAATGCTTCTTTTTATATTTCCGAGACGTTTCCGTTGAAAATTATTCTGCCTTACAGTTACAACATTACAAGTTCATAAAAGAAAGCAATTTGTAACTGTCATCATGCAACAACTCGTACATATCGTTTTGAATGTTAGTCATATTAAATTTAATTTTTGTTTTTATTTCAAAAATGCAGGACTCGGCCACATTTTGCTTTGAATCACGTGCATTATACATCTGGAACTGGTTAAACTAATTTCCGTTTGAACATTTATTAACAAAAAAAAATAAATTTTTTTGATCGAACCAAATCTTTTTCTTATTCTTCTTTCTCTCCCATTTTGTTATCATCAAACAAAATGACTCAACTTACCGTCGATTGCCTTAGCGATATCTTTGAATATTTAGAGAATGACAAAGAAACTTTATACTCATGCTTACTAGCAAACCGTCTTTGGTGTGAAGTTTCCATTAGAATTTTGTGGAGAAATATTTGGGAATTTTAGGATTATGTGTCACTTGCCTCGAATCTGCGATCTCAACAAATTATTAAAACGTTGCTTGTAGTCAAGGGCCCTCTTACATGAGAATGGAATTTCTATCACGACTCCAACATTGAACCCTCCATTATTTAATTACTTATCATTCTGTAAAGTCTTATCTATTTGTGTAATTGACCATATAATTCTATAAACCTCCACAAAGCATTTTAGCATGCAAGAAATATTGAAAATGATTGTGAGGATGTCTTCCTTGAAAAAATTGGATTGTATAGTCACCGTCGATATCAGAGTTGATTTATCTTATCTTCCTGGAGTGATTGATTGTTTGAAAGATCTTTCGTTGTTAAAGATTAATTCGAACCTTGATTCTAAACTTTTTTATATTTTGTCTCAAAATTGTCAGAACATAAAATCATTTGCAATACAATTTAAAAGTTGCGTTTCGAGAGGATTGACAGATTTAATCTCTTCACAAAACAACTTGATGCATTTATCTTTAATGAGCCTTAATTCTATTAGTGGTTTTTCATCTCTCATAACAAAAACATTCAGACACCTTAATCAGGTTAGAAATTTTACAATTTGTCACCGTTCAACAATTACAATCTTTGAGATTATACCAATGTCCTAAGCACGAATACTTGGACAGATTTCTAGAAATAATGGGAAGAATTTAAGGGAACTTCATACTGACGATGATTCATTAAATTTGGCCAGTGCTAAATTTTGTCCAAACCTTTTCTCATTACTTACTGCAAAGTTTGTGAATACCGAAGAACTAAAACTTAATTTGGATAATTGTAGACAATTAGAAAGTATTCAAATGTTTTATCATGTTGGAAAAGAAAGTTTGGGGTTGTGGCAAAATATTCCCCGAAAAATTTTTATAAATTAAGGTTATTGCAAAAAAAAATAACTTGTTGACTTTTAAAGATTTGGAGGATTTTTTTATGAATTGGGAATCTCGTACGCAACGAAAATCCCTCTCTTTAACGATCATGGGACGTCGTGCCAATAGCTTAGAAATCATGAATGTAGTTGAAAATATATAAAGCTGGGGTTGGTTAGGAAATTCGAGATTTTAGAATTATGATTATTTTTATTAAATCTTTTTTTTTTTCCTCAAATAATTTAATAACACATCAATAACTTTTTTTAAAAATTTTGTGATTTCGGTGAATTAACACATTTAATCATGAATATTTGAAAATGCATTTGTAGCATAAACATGTATTGTATATGCTGTGCAAAAAAATTGTTTAGTTGTGATACAGCTTGTAAACGAAAAATGCGATTTCTTTCTTTAGTTTAATTAATTTTTGAATTGAAATAAACACACAGTGAATACACTACATCAGCGAAACTTTAAGCATGAATCATTATCATTTAATGGACCTTTCATTCTATAGAATGTTTCATCTGAAGATTAGAAGAAATTTTATAAAATCACTTTAAGGAAGAATATATGTTTTCATAAAAAATTCAAGCAATTATATTAATGTCCGTGTATTAAATTTCAAATTACTGGGGAAAATAATGATGCGGATTATTAATCTTTAGTCGTTAAACTAATTAGCTTATCTGACTGAATTTGCTTTATATTTATTACCATCATTTTTAGTTTATTTGTAGAAAAATGTTTTACAACTTACTTTTAAAGTAAAGATCAAGAACCAACATGAGTATAAAAAATTTTTTAGTATTTTTTAACATTTGAAAAGTAATATATATATATATATATATATATATATATCTTTTTTTTCTCAAAGAAACTGCTAATTGAAAAGTGGTATTAAATTTAAAAAAATGTATTACTTTCTTATAGATAAAACGGTAAACTATTATTAAAAAAATGCTTAAAAGGTTTTTTATTATAATTAATAAAATAATAATATATCGTTATAAAATGTTAGTTAATTTCTGATTAGCTTTGATGATGTATAATGAATAATAATATTTTTCGAATTTTTTTGATTGTAAAAACAGATTTCTTTAAAAAAAAAAATTCAATTAAATTTTATTTTTTTTTTAATTTTACCTATTTTTCTGTTATTTTTTATTCTTAAATATTAAGCTTAATTTAAATATTAATTTATTAATTAAATTATATAATTAAATGATAATAAAAAAATATTTTAATTAAAAGTTTATTATTATTTTAATTAATGAAAATTAATAATTACTAGAAATTTATTATAAATTAATATTTAAATTATAAAAATATAATAAAAGTAAATTAATATTATAATTCATAATTAATATAAATTTAAGCTTTAAAATAATTAATTTAATGATATTATTATTGTATTAATTAAAAGCATAAATTTTAAGAATTCTATAAATTAAATAATATAATATTCGTATTCACAATGATTTTTTAATTATTATTTAATATGTATTAAAAAATCATTTATCAAAAAAGTAATATATTTTAATATTTTTTATTCTTTTTTATGATATTTTACTTTTTTTTCATTTTAACTCCAAATATCTAAATAAAATAATGACAAGAAATAAAGTATTTTTTTTAAAAAAAAAACCAACAAAGGAATTAGCAAGTAATGAGCGAAGAGTTGTGGACATGTCCTGATCAGGAAAATACTATGAAACTAGGTGGTAAATGTATTGATGTTGGGCGTCAGCTGGGATGCGGTGTAATTCTCCCGTCTCGAACTTTTTTTAGGCGAAATTTGATAAAAATAAGTCTTTGCATGATAATGATGATTATGAATTTTTTTGGTGAGTTTTTATATCCGTCCTTACACATGCGCCAATTGTTCAGCATTGTATAGTACGCGAATTCAATATCCGTGTGTAATGCGATTATCTTAAATACAATTTTTTTTGAGTGTATTGCGAATTGCTTTAGATGTTGCGTCACTGAATTCTCGCCTAGTTTCTAGAGATAACACTCATTTTAATATTATTTAGTGTAAAATTCGGTGAATGTCTAGTAATAAAAATCATTCCAACTTCAAATTTAAATCAACTTACAGTTGCAACCCAAATATAGTAAAGCTAATGCAATTCGTAGAATGTAACATTTTTTTTCGTTTGAAAATATAGTGAATCCTACATAATAAAATAAGTTTCTGATTCTAGAGATTTCAATCCTGGAAAGATAATTACTCATGAATGAAAACAATTACGTTTGGTTTACCGTGTATCCTGAAAAAATATCTTGGTTTCGTAATGTTCCAAATATTTTATTAACGCCGGTAGATCATCGAAATGCTATTTTGAAACATAGGTAAAGTTTGTTATTATGAAATTTAAGTTTAACTTTCTTGCAACATTTTGAAAGGTATTTTCATATTTAACCTTCATATTCGACAAAATTCCGTTTCTAAAACTTGTCAGACGGTTGCCATAAAGAAACATCGCTTTTTATAATAAAATATACAAGATATATATTAATTATAATATAGAGTGATGATATTTTATTAAAGATCTTGTTTGACCCTATTTTAATAGCGGATTTTCTGTCTTCGGGTGTTGAAGTCTTTTTTATTAATTAATTTTAATTCTTTATATAAAAATTAATTTTTTTATTAAAATGTCCGATTTTATTACCCCCATAAAAAGTTTTTTTTTTTTAAAAAAAAAAAAATGAAGGAAAAATAAAAAGTTATAATTTTACAATAAAAAAAAATTTTTTTAAAAAAAATCTTTGGATTCTTTTCAGCGGCGCGTTTTTTTTTGTAAAAGACCATCTAGTTAATTCTAAGTAGCGTAGCGTTATTCTCGCTTCGTTTGTAAGTAGCGTTAGCGTTATCAGACCGGAAAAATATTGGAATCGTCCGTTTCTGTTTTTAAATAAAATAAAAATAAAGGGCGCACATGAGTAACTTCCGTGGTTCACTACTCCCTAAGGAAGAACAGCCAGTACCAATGGGACCACTAATTTAGGTTCTGGATTTTTAGAATATTACTCAGTGAGCGCCGCCAAAGTACATCAGCAGCACATCAGCGAGGGGTTAAGAGGTTATTATATAGTCAATAATAAAGGGACGATTTGTAATAAATTACTCTGCATCGTGTTATTTTTATCAAAGCCAACGCTATTTAAAAGATTAACTTGCTTTGATATATCAAAATGACTATATAACACTTCTCCCATTATCAGTTCTACCCGTATCAGAAATGGACTTTTCCCGCGTCTACCTTAAATTTTGGATCTTGAAGCGAAAAGCCCTTCGTTTCGTTGTCGATGTAGCGTTATCGAAGAAGTCCTTCTGTTCCAATTGTCAGTAGCGTAGCGTTATCGAAGAAATCCTTCCGTTTGTGTGAAGTTTCGTTTGTAGTCAAGGGAAATGTAAAAAGTTATTCTTAAAAAAAAAAAAAAAATAAAGATTTTAAACTCACTTTACGTTCCTTCGGATGCCTAAACTTAGCGAAATAGTATTAGACAGAACTGTTTTTTTTTTTCAAGCGAAAAAGTAGAAAAAAAATGTTCTCATATGGGTCCTGTTATATGTGCTGATCGCGTGCGAAAATTTTGGACAAAACTTACGTATTGCCAATAATTGAACATTTTGGTTAGAACAAAATTTGTCATATCGGCATGACAATTACCATAAGCAGTAAGCAAACACATTTACATTATGTTAGAACAATATCATTTACAAGCTATTTTAGCAAAACGGTTAAAGATTATAACAGTTTAAAAAAGATGAATTTAATTCCGGCCGAAATTCAATTTCTGGCCAGAAATAAGATTTTACGATTGGCAAAAATACATTTGGTGTCATATCTGTCATATCGTAGACAAAACAAACATTTTAGAACGAATAAGCCTCGTTTGCAGTATTTAAAAAAGTAATTTATAAATTACATTTATATTTTTTAAAAAATTAATTCTTTCTAATAATTATTATTATTTAGTTTCTTTTTCTATTAAAAAAATTCTATTAACAAAATATTATATTATATAAAATTTTATCTATAAATACATTATAAAATAAAATAAATAATGTATTTTATTATTAAAATCTATTAAATTTAAAATTAATTATATAAATTTAGTAATAAAGTAGAATTAATATAGAATAATTGTTTAATGATTATTTACTCTAACTTTGAATAAAAATTAATTTTAAATAAAAAAGTAAATAAATGTTATAAAAAGAAGTTTAAAATTATTTATAAACTGTATTATTAATTATAATTAATATAAAATTAGTATAAATTATATCATATAATAATATTTAAAATTATTAAAATATTTAAAAAATTATATAATTAAATTTAAATTAAAATAAATATATTACTAAAGAATTATCTCTTAAATAATAAGTATAAATTGTTTATAAATATTTTATAAAATTATTAAAATATATAATTTTCATAAGAATTTTATTGTAGCTGAAAATATAATCATATAGACTAATATATATTAGTAATTAAACTGATCAATTGATCAATTAATCAATATTAATCATATTTAAATACTGGATTTAAAATGCAAATAAAACTAGAAATTAACAAAAAATTAGCCTTTACTAATAGGTCTTTAATAAATACTATCTTATATTTTCAAATAGCAGAAACTCTTATCTTATAAAATATGATTAATCAGTAATAAATAAATCTGAAATATCTTAATAATAATAAATTATATTACATATTACAGTATTAGACCAGATCATGTTATCATTAGGATTACAGTTCAAATTCAATTTCAAATAAATTTAATACTATAAATATTAAACCACTATCTTAAAAATACTAATTTATTAATTTTAGTAATTATTGATAAAGTAAAATTTTATAAAATAGACTAATAAATATAATAATCATTAATTAATATAGCTAAAGTAAATTTTTATCTAGTTTGATAACTAAGTTTTATAGTATCTAGTTAAGCAAATCCTAAGGTCAAATTTAAGAGAAATGAATCATATACTAAGTGACAAATAATAATCTATAAGCAATATAATTATGTAAATCCTTAATTGTAATTAGTAAAACTTCAAAAGGTTTAATAAATTTTATATACCTTAAGTAAATTAGTACAAATTTTTAAGTATTCTGAAAATAAGTATTTTAAAAA